ACATTGACGAGCAAACTTGAAAGTTACAAATCGAAAACTGACTCCGCTACTTTTGTATCATCACTTTATCCTACCATCTTGTGTTCGTGCTCTTACTGTCTATTTGGAAGATAGTTCCAGCGGTGACAACATTTCAGATGACAAAGCCAATGATACTGTTGTCTCGAGAGACCCATCAGAGACTGATACTGAATAGGGACCCCTCTCCCCTCCACCACCGAGAACATACATAAAGTCCTACAGGAAGAGGTAACCTCTACTTGTCACTCTGCAACCAGTATCAAACCTGAAAGAGACATCATTGATGGAAACACAGATTTAAAATCTAATGTTTCCAAGAATGATGATTACTCTATTAGAACCATGGATGAACAGTTACTAGATCTGCAGAGCTGTATTCCTGGTAGCAAACCCTGGTACTCTCCCAATGTCAGTCAACAGATTGGGAGGTACCAAACCTAAGGCACCAAGAACAAAGGGGAGTCGAACAACTTGGTACTTTGGATGCGATTTCTGCATATTTGCCTTGTTTTTCCTGAATCTCGTCAATCACAGACAATTCAAAAATATGGAAGATTTCATTGGATTTATCAAAACGGACTAGATCAGGTTTGCTGGCCTGGTTAGGTCTGGGGTTGTAAGCGGGGTAATTTTGGCTCGTTTACGAAAACTGTGGAATGCCTTGAATCATCACGAGTCTTGACATGCTCCACAAGAGGATCATCAGACATATAAATGTGTGCAAGAGTGCACAAAACAATTCTATCACGAGGAGCCTAAACGTTAATCAAACCATGACCTCCCACTATGACTGGTAAATATAAGCGATTCAGGGAAGAGCGAGGGTGGTGGGATCTATTGTCTGACATGATTCTTCGTGTGAGGGTGTCAATACCCTGAATTTCCTGCTTCATGCAACAACACCAAAAGAATACAAAAGGACGGGCACAGCATAAGTATTTGTGGCTTTAACCATATTGTGAGCCTTAAGTTCTGAACTCAAGATTTTAAGTCTACATTTGTACTCTGCCCAAAGTTTGTCCTTCATATGGGAATTCTGGAGTTTGTCCCTAACCTGAATTCCTAAGTACGTATTGGCCTGACCTTCCACGAGATGGTCAATAACTTCTCCTCCAAGTAAACTGAGTGATCCTCCCTCTTCTACCTTGCCACGTTTCAAATGAAGAAAGTTGCATTTGTCGAGTCCACAGGACATGCCGATATCAGCAGAAAAGGACTCAACAAGGAAGTCTGTGGTTTTAGTGTGGATCCTCCGTTGGCGATGCTGTGTCTGTTATTAAAGTCTGACACATTAGTGTGAAGTGAAGAATATATTGAAAACATAAAAATTAATGAAAGAAATCATACAGCTTTGTAAATAATTAATTATATATTAATGAATCAATTGATATCAAGGTTTGATGTTGATAACATGTTAAAACATTTTTATTTATATAATGTTATTAGGACAAAATACATATCTCAGACAACACATGATCAGGTGCATGTGTGTGTTCATGCAGGATTCCAACACACTGGTTGTCTAGCATCTTGATGGAAACTTTACATTAATTTCCTCCATCAAAGGATCAAACAGTTTTCGATATATGTATATTCAGTAAATCTTCTCCAACAGTAACACTATCACTCTACACAGAAAGAAACGCAAAATTGATTTCGTATATTTTATATATTATATAAATACTCAACAGATGGAAAGCGATTGTTCAAAATTTGCACACATCATTCCCATTGACCCAGTTGTGCATATGGCACACTTGGAAAAGTAGATTTTCAAGGTGAAAGTCATCTGTGCTCAATATCTTGTTTGGCCCCTGTCCAAAACTGTCTGGCATCGTCCCATGGAAGCAATCAGATCCGGAATAAAACGTGTTTTATCACTTAACCAAACTTCTCTCCATCGCAGTTGTTTCGCCGAAGACCCGGGTTCGATTCCCGACATGGGTACAATGTGTGAAGCCCATTTCTGGTGTCCCCCGCCGTGATATTGCTGGAATATTGCTAAAAGCGGCGTAAAACCATACTCACTCACTCCATCGCAGTTGTAGCCATACTCTTTGACCTTGACAACATTGATGACGATGAAGGTCCGTCAAAATGACCCCTCGAACTGGTCGTCGAGAGCGTTTACCTTCAGCACATAAACGGTTCCTCACTGTCTTGGCTGATATCCTGTGCAATCCTGGTATTACCGTAGTTGGCCGTGGTTGTTCCTTCATGTAAGTGGCGTAGCCGTATTAATCTATCCTGTGCTCTAGTAATTATACGTGTTGTCCCGTGTGATATCGGTTGCAGGCTTGTATAGGTGCTTGGTGCTAAGGGGAAAGACTCCCTTCGGCAGAGTATATATATATATGTATCATCATGGAGTTATGAAACGAAAGTTGGTTCCTAACCAATGTTATTTTAAATAGCATGCAACTCTGCTCCCACAACACGAACATTTTACAAAGAAAAATTGCAAAACTTATTACATCTTACTTTCCAGAATATGACATTGTTTGTTTGTCTCACTGAAAACGATAGTAAGATTCATTTAAGTTTTTATTAAAAAATGGTGAGGGAATAGTCCTACTACTAGTTAATTTATTGGGTGGCAGTTGTCCCAGATGGTAATTGTCCCGGGTGGAAATTGTCCGGGTGGTAAATGACCGTAGAAATGGTAGGACAATCGGACGAAGAATGTCATTCATGTAACGCTGAACTGTCAAATTTCCGTTTACGATGACCAGTAGTGTCATCTGCCCAAAACTCTCCCCTCCCCCACTACATAACACCCCCTCCACCATACGGCACTACGTCCTGAACGCAACACGTTCGCTCTACCCTTCGGTGGTAAACGCGCTGTCTACCATCAGCTCAATACAGTCAGAACCGGCTTTCATCCTTGAAGACGACCCTCTGCCAGTCACGTCGCTACAAACGACGTACAGTCCGGGCCCATCTAAACCTCTGACGACGATTTTGCGCTGTCAATAGCTGTCCTCTTTAAAGGTCTATAAGTCTTAATTCATTGAGCCATGAGTCACCTGGCCACTGTCTGTCGGCTAACCATATGTCCTGAGGCATTCGTTGCTGATGACGTCACTGACAGGAATCGATTACTGAGATGCAAAATACGCAAGTAACGGTCTTCAATGGGTGTAGTTACCCTGAGTCTGCCTGTTCTTGGCATGTCTGATGTCTGCCCGGTTTGCCTATAATGTTGCATAAGGTTAGTTACAGCAACACGGGAGCAATCAAATGGTGTGACATTTCAGTGGTGAAGGTATTCGCTTCCTACATGTCGCTGTGAGCGCCTGACATGCCGTCTGTATAATTTATATACTATTATTACGCGCGTAGCTTCGACTGCACAAACGGGTTTTTCACTTTTTCGCATTTTCTACACACAAAAATGTGCCGTGGACGTGCTTCACTTTTTCCATGGAGCATTGTTGTGTTTTGGCGATGTGTTTTGCATTGCTTTAGTTTGGACTTGTGTTTTTAAATTCTTGTTATCTATATTTTAAGTTGAAAAGTTTTTGGCCGTCAGTTTAAATCAATGCCTGCATATGCTCGTGCAATCAATGCATGTTACCCGTATCATCGATGGGAAAGTACATTTGCATAAATTTAAAAGCATAATTTTATCAAACGTTCATCCATTTGACATAACACTTTCTTAGTAAAGTACTGATTCTCATACTTTGTTGGGTTGAGACCCATCCGGGATTCGGACCACACTGTCAGAGTGAGGCCCCTAATCGCTAGCACATAAAGTCAGCGATCTTATCTACGCAGCCACCGAGGCTTCCACAAAAACCGAAAGGCCGACAACTGGTAGTCTAGATCACGTACGTTGTGTACCCTTCATGCACTGTGTGTTTATATAATCAATGTTGATAGTCTACACTAAATGCGATTGTGTGGGATCCAGTTTTTACCTCCGTGTACCGATCAGTCCGACTTGGTACCTTTACCTTTACATCCAAACAATTATAGGAAATACTACGAGCGTCCGATCACCAAAATTTGAGTCAACAATGTCACCACATTTTTAGCAACCAGGATTGACTAGATTAACCAGATTAACCTACTGTGCCGGAAATAAAGCGCATATAATGCAACCTCAGTTATGATACGAATGGCTGCAAGGAGAAGGCGAAAGACAATAGTTCTTTGAATTGATACAACACACACAACTATGAGAGGTTTACATGGCTGCCATTGTACCTTTTCTATTTAATGCCTGTAAAATATTGAAATCAACAGTCGAAGATATATGTAATGATTTAAAGTATTAATGTCCAGTTAATTATATTCCTCAAACATTTATTCATGATTGAATGAAGAAAACGAATCTAATGAACTTTGTCGATGTCGCCACCTTGAACCAGAGTACCGCACCCTCTGTGCACTGGCAACGCTAAGGTCATCGTAAATCAGTTAACGTGTGGCAAGTGCTGGGTAAAGCACGTCCTTGAATTTTTATGACATTTTAAACGCGCATCTGCGGATAAGGGTTTAAAATATCATATTAATCCGAGGGAAAGTGTATTTTCTAACTTATAAACCGCAAATTAAACTTAAAACAACATTTACAACAGTTTTATTTTTCATAATACTTCCCATGAACCTTAGGAAACGGGAGTAAAATACCTATTGCTGGCATAAGGTACTTGAAAAAGACATTCTTAAATACTCGGTAGGATAAAGAAACATTTGTCTTTTGAATTTACATTACATTACATTGTGTTAAAATGCAAAATATATTTCCTGCGAGAAACATTCATATATTACAATATGAACGGAAGTTGTAGTAATAAAACTGATATTATATTAAAGCCCGGGCATATTACAACATCCCTGTGCATGAAATTTAATCCTACGGAAAACAAAAGTTTTGAAATGGAACGCGAGCACTGTAATGTAACGATGAATAGAAAGTGATATGAATAGCTGAATAGGCTGAACGCAGATAAGAGTGCAAACTCACTAGCCTCAGAAGTTCAGCGATGTTCTGTGCTTCTGAAAGCAACTAAGGTGGGATGCCCCAGCACAAGTCTTACAACACATCTTGAGGATACTAGGAAGGTATGCTCGTGGGTAGAGTGTCACTGGGACAGTTCAATACAGTTGTGAATCTTTCTGCATAACCTTGTTGTGAAAAGAATTCTTGACAACTGGCGAGGGCTTCTCTGGTATGGAAGACTGGTAAGAGGTGCCCTAGTGCGGAGAAGCGACGAGGTCCCTGTGTTGTAAACTGCCGTGAGGTGCCCTTGTGTGGTGGTCTGCCGTGAGGTGCCCTAGTGTGGTGAACTGACGTGATGTGCCCTTGGTGGTGAACTGACGTGAGGTGCTCTTGTGTGGTGAACTGCCGTGAGGTGCCCTAGTTTGGTGAACTGACGTGAGGTGCCCTTGTGTGGTAAACTGCCGTGATGTGCCCTAGTGCGGTGAACTGACGTAAGGAGTCCTTGTGTGGTGAACTGACGTGAGGTGCCCTTGTGTGGTGAACTGCCGTGAGGTGCCCTTGTGTGGTGAACTGACCTGAGGTGCCCTTGTGTGGTGAACTGACGTGAGGTGCCCTTGTGTGGTGAATTGACCTGAGGTGCCCTTGTGTGGTGAACTGCCGTGAGGTGCCCTAGTGTGGTGAACTGACCTGAGGTGCCCTTGTGTGGTGAACTGCCGTGTGGTGAACTAAGGTACCCTTTTTGTCAGATTTTATCTGGCAAGTAAAGTGGATCAGAGGTACCGTCATATTGAGAGATGTTTTTTGTTTTTTGTTTTTAAAAAGTGAGCTACACGAGTGTTGAGACGACTCCTGGAAAGTAAAGTGAGACACCCAACACCAGATAGCCTGCCGAGCATCTGACAGCAATGCAGATTGAGGAAACCGATGACGAAGTTGAGCAGATTCCAGACAACGGTAATGCCCTGGAAACAACGCTGCGTTATACACTGGCGAAACCTCCTCCACTTTCAATCACGATTACTGCAGCCCTACAGGTAAGTCATATATATTTCCCCGTGACCACGTGACATATACAATATAGCATACATGTTTGTTTGCGTACATGCAGAGGTAACCGACATGTGTGTTGCACTATCCACAGTTGTTTAACTGTGTTACATTAACTTTGTACGTGCACGTTTGTGTGTGGCTGCTTGTTCTAGTCCAGACTGATGCCGATTTATAGTGCTAGCCCACTAATATACCATGTCCCAGTTTAACATGTGTCCCAGTTTAACAGTTTTGTGTGTAAGATATCATATTTTCTTTTTCGATATGCGAACTACGCAGGTGACGTGTGTGGTGCTTTTGTAAAGAATTTGTAAAACAAGAAATCGTAGAATTTCGATCTGATAACGGAATAGCGTTCCACAATCGGATAGACGATCGGTAAAAGGATCCACACGAATGTCTTAGTCTTGTGAGAGGAACACTGATGTTTTCAGAGTTTCTGAAGCTGTCTGAATTTTTAGCAGCAACGGTTTTGGGTAGAATATCTGTCAGAAAGTCAGCATCGATCAGTCCTAATTGATGTGTCATTGTCATAAAGGTTGAACAAAGAACAAGAGGCATTTTGCGTATGACATATTTAATAAGTCTGTAAGCGTACGCCATTACGATCCATTACAAATTAACTGACGCGACAGTAAAGCGTATTATCCTATATGGCTTAGAGAGCGCTTACGGACCGCCTCCGTGGTCTAGTGGTAGAGCGTCCACCCGGAGAGCGGAAGGTCCGGGGTTCGATCCCCGGCCGCGTCATACCAAAAGACGTTTAAAAATGGTACTTGTTGTTACCCTGTCTGGCGCTCGGCATTAAGGGGCTAAAACAAGGACTGGTCGGCTCGGAGTCAGTATATTGTGTCTGAGTGGGGTATTCATGTTAAACTGCGGCATGGTATCTCAGTGAGCTAGCACTATAAATCGGCATCAGTCCGGACTAGTACAAGAAGCCACACACAGACAAGTACATGCCCGTCGCTATATAAGTGCAATAATCTTGGACGCGACGTTAAACCCCATTTCACCTCACCTAGATAGCGCTTACACTTAGGAATTAAAAGAAAATAGTACATGTGAACCAAAGACACACTTGTAACATTCATTCGGTTGAACGAACGACGTTATTACCTCCCAAACAATGGCTTCTTTCATTTTCCGCAGAACACCGTGCAATTTCGCCAGATTGAAGAACTGCAAAGCAATTAAATTATCATTACAAAGGGGATTCTGTAGTTACTCTGAAGCTGTTCTATGGGTGGGAATATGAACATGAAAGCGCCAATCTATATGACCGTAAATGTCGGCGAGATAGCTTATTATTATACAAATAGTTTTTAACTGATTTTTATTTTGTTATTCAGAACGGATTCCTGTGAAATGACTGTAAGGTGAGGTGAGGTGAAATTGCGTTTAACGTCGCGTTCAAGATTATTGCACTGACATAGCGACGTGCATGCACGAGTGTGTGTGTGTGTGTGTGTGGGGGGGGGGGGGATCGGATTCCTATGATAGAAGTTCACAACCATACCTTTTTTATTGTTTTATATTTCGAATGAGGCGATTTAACGTAGTTATTGTGTACACAGAACATTCATTGCACTAACTTGAACATTTAGCGACGGCGAGGAAGCTTTTCTTTCCCCTTTCTAATGATGTTAGCATGTCCTTTGGGCTGGACAAATGCAACATACTTTATATGAACCGTGCAAGGTAGGAGAGAGAGGATCGGTCAGTTTACTTTGGTGACTCGTGGAAGGTACAGCCTTCACATACTTAGGGTTGGTTGGTTGGTTTGTTGTTTAACGCCGCACGCAGCAATATTACAGCTATATGACGGCGGTCTGTAAATAATCGTGTCTGGACAAGACAATCCATTGATTAATATCATGAGCATCGATCCACGCAATTGGATGCAGATTAGAGACAAACTCTAGAATACCCATTTTATGTGGACTTAAGAGTTCAGACCTGAAGGCTCGCAATACGTTTAAAGCCACACATGTTATGCTTATCCGTCCTTTCGCATTCTGTTGGAATTTCAGGGTATTGACAAACTCACACGAAGAATCATGTCAGATAATAGATCCCTCCACCCTGTCTTATATAATGGGAGGGCGTGGTTTGATTAACGCGGAGATTTTTCATTATAAAATTATATTATGCACTTTTGCACACATTTTTTTGTCTGATAATCCTCTTGTGAAGCACGTCAAGACTCTTGATGAAAACAAGTTATTCCGCAGCTTTCGTAAACGAGGCAAGGATGTGGGACATAATCCCAATGTGAATGTTAGCAGTGACACAAGCGTGACAACGGTGCCACATGGACGACACAAGATGAGTGAGGAAGGATTGTGGGACCAGCGTCACTGGTTAGTTTGAACGTTGGCACAAACGATGTTCACTTCATCTCACACACGTTCGATGGGAGACGGATCTGGCGAAACAGCTGGCCAGGGGTCGTTCTGTTGTTGGAAGCCTGTGACAACACGTGCAACACGAGGACGACCATTGTCCTGCCGTAATGTGAAATCATGTCCCTGGGTCTGAAGGAACGGGGGGCACGGGTGGCCCAGTCGTCTGAGGCGCCGAGATTCGCTGTGCAGAGTTGCGTCCCTTGGGCACGCCAGAAACCTATGATTGTGGGTTCGAATCCCGATTCGCCCCGATCATGTTTCTAGGTTTGTCAGCACCATACCCGTGCTCGTGGGTTTCGACGAAGTGATAAACGTCTGAGACCTGCATCACTTCGGGCTTTCTTCCCACATTAAGCTGACACACCGTGATATATCTGGAATACTGTTAAACGCGGCGTTAAACCCAACTCACTCACTCACTTCGGTGAGAGACGGAACGGGCTAAACAGTTGGCCAGGGGACGTTCTTTTTTCCAGGGAAGTCTGGGACAACACGTGCAACGCGAGGACGACCATTGCCCTGCTGTAATGTGAAATCATGTCCCTGGATCTGAAGGAACGGTTCCGTACACGTGTAAATGCGCCATCGATGACCAGCAGAGGGGTCCTGTTGTAGTGAAGCCTCCCACACCATTACGCTCCAACCACCGAGTGTAGAACGTTAACAACACACGACCATCTCTGCTGTGAAGATGAAACCTGGACTCATATGTGAGGATGACAAACCCACTAGTCCTGTAACCTGAATCTTAGATGTTGTCTTGTCCATGCCATGCGTGTAGTTTGATAAAGTGTCAGCAAAAGTGGACTAAAACTGGACGACGTGGTTGGATGCTATGGTCTTATAATCGATTCCTCACAGTCCTTGAACTAATCGGACTTATGCCAGGGATGCTGTGGGTCATTGTTTTTCAGATAGGTTTACGAGGTTTGTCAGTCATCAAAGTTGCTTTTCACAGTTAGAACACTTCAACGATTTACTCTGTGATTTACTGTGAATGTGTAACGAATACGATTACTCATGTCTGAGATGCACGTGCAAGATGTGTACTCACGCCAAAACCTTTGTACACGTGTTTATCATGCACGATTCTGAAAAAAACATGGCAGTTATTTTTCAAATTATGTGATTATTATATGGTGCACATGAACGTTTATTTTCCCACAGTATATTTCATGAAATTCATTTATTCACAGCACATCTTGATGTGTATACCGGCGTCACTGGCAATACCATTCATTGTGGCTGATGGGATCTGCGCCGAGTACGACAGTCCGATAAGAACAACGTTGTTCTCGTCATCACTGTTCATGTGTGGTGTCTGCACAATACTTCAGACCGCATTGGGCGTTCGGTATGGAATTATTTCTGGGGGTGCTCGACTTTAGATGCATCTACACCGTGTATGCATTCTCTCATAGCAGTTGTTTCAATTATGCAGTTGCAGGCTTTGTACCTCATGTATATGCAGAGCAGACTCCAACGGTCTGGTCCTTGTCCAACTTGTAAACTGAATGCATGGTTTACAAGTTTGTAATTCTTAAATGAGCATGTGTTATCACGCCAACAGTAATATGTCAATATCCACAACATGTCCAGTAATGGATTCAGACATTTAATTCCTGATATAACGAAGCCGTATGTTTCAACATCATTTGTAATGATAGATAAGTGAAGGTGTTAAAACAATTATTGTTTGTTGAAATGGAAAGTTAAATTAACGTGCTTTCAACTTCCTAAAGTCAGTAAAATGGTTATGTCATGTATTTTTTATTCAGACTGCCTATTCTACAAGGCCCATCGTCCGTTTTCCTGCCTGTCATACTTGCAGTTCAAAAGAGCGACAGTTGGAAATGTGTGGATAGTGTTCACGGTAGTTTACCTTAAGTTTCTTTTTTTGTCGTCAGAAACAAGAGACTCAAGGTCATACCTAGTGATTGCAAGCTTATGGTGTTAACCGAAGTATTTGTGTATATTCAATGGGATATTCTCAATACCGATATTCACATATGATCGTGTTTCGGGGTAAACGTCAAAGACATGCATCAAAACTCAATGATGATGTTTATCGCTAGCAAAATGAATATTTCTTTAAAAGTGCACTTTGAAATATTTGTCATTAATGTAAGTAATATTCCTTATCGGCGTAATAGCTTGTTTTCGCAGTATAACTATTAGCATACATGCAATTATCTTCGTTAATTAATCATCGCAGTATTTCGTGATTCTATTTCAAGTATCGAAGACTTAAGTTTTGTGTTTCCGCACTGCTTTTTCTTCTTCACCGTTATAGCCAAGTGGTAATAGAGTTACCGTTACTTCCAAATCCATATCAATAGTTCCTTACATGGGTTTTGCTTCAAATCGATCTGTTAACTATAAAATGGCATGATCAATGCCAAAAACACATCACGACAAAAAATATCGATTTGGGTAACGGTAATTCGGTGGCTACGTGTATCAGTTGATGATACAATTCTCCTTAACTATCTGTTTTACTTCCTGTCTTTGCTGTAAATTACAATAACTTCCCATTGGGTTTCATCTGGAACTTTCGATCTTCATATATTTTTCCATTCCATTTATTTACCGAATCTGATAAAACCGTCGGTAATTCGGGTACGTGTCAGAATCGCCCACATTAATCCTCGTGGCAATTCCATACATGCTTCTCCTGTTTCAGTAACCGCACCAATGTATGGAAACAACACTACAACATCACCAAATATGTCATCTGCCACTACCAATCCAATCCTTCTGACCCAGGACGAAAAACTTCAACAGGTGCCGTTAAAAAAAGACTATTGATGTTGATCCTGAAATCCCAACGGCAATTTCTTGTGCGAAAATAGTGACATCGAACTTAACTTTTGTAATGCTATAATTGTGTTTCTTTTAAAACATGTAGGAAACGTGATTACATTTCACTTTTTGGGGAAGGTCAATAGCCTTCCAGTAAAAATGATACCTGAAATTTACCCGAAGCAGATTCGTAATGTAACTTAATGTACTAACCAATATTAATCTTGATGTATTTGTTCGGTATATTTCTGCATATATTGTCAGTTTTTTCTGGGGTTTCTACTTTGTTTTTCTGTTTGTAGCTATCCGGCAGCATCATGGCTGCGTCTCTGGTAGAGATCCTGATTGGTGGAACTGGGTTGGTGGGACGTCTCCTCCGTTTTGTTGGACCAATCACCGTCGCCCCTACCATTGCGCTCATTGGCCTCTCTCTGTATAAAATACCAATCCGATATTCAAAATCCTCGTGGGAGCTATCTCTGACGTAAGGAATGTCCGAAAGGACATTGTACACTGTATCTGGAGAAACTATCTTCGTAATTATTGCTAATGACTTACATTTATTGACACAGTTCGTCTGAACCATTGTTATCCTGGGAGTACAATAAATGATTCTATTTATCCTAGGAATAATCGTGTAATTCTGTTCAATTTGAAATATTAACCATAGTTATTGATACCTTTGTCATGTACTTGTACATGTAGTTTAAGTATAATTTATATATATATTTTAATGTCACAAACACTAAAACACAAATCAGTCCGTAGGTTGAATCACCTCTATTCCAAAAACGATAACTATATACCTATTTTATTTGTGTTGTTATAAAATTTAGAATTAGATAAGTGAGAAATTAGCCATAATCACAATATTTATTTAAGCAGTGTCCTTTGTATATAATAAGCATGAATACATCTTACATAACGCATAAACCACAATGGCCATGTGTTGGATATATCGAGACACGAGGTTAGAAATAGCACAACACCTTTACTTTCCATTCATAACAACAAACACATACGTTGAAGCCAATTTAATTAACGTTATGAATAACATATCGAGTTATCAGTAGTTCCGTACAAACGGTAGGTCGATATTCTTCCATATTGCTAATGATGATACAAGGCAACGATAGCGTTTAAGATAACAGTTGATGTTACGTCAGCAATAGATCTCAGCAATAGAGCCAGGATCATGGTTTTAGGAATCGCAATAAATATTACGTCATATATACTACTCAAAAGAAGTTAAGGATCGCCCAATTCTTCATATTACTGATATGGACATATTATCTTCCTTTAAGTACTGTATGTATAGTATATAGTAACATTACATTATGTACAGTACATTACAAGTGTGACACATATTGACGGAACATTGTGTTATATCATTAACAGAACTTTAAACTGTCGATTATTGTGCTTTTCAGCGGATCGGTATTGGTTGTAGTGTTCGCCTTGTATCTCGGCCATGTGAAGATACCGGTACCAACTCGGGCAAACTGTAAGAACAGAGGCAAAAGCAACGGGAAGTTACGAGGAGTGCGTCTGTTTCAGCTGTTACCGGTGTGTTTCATGTTTTCCTCTACTGGGGGCACGGTTGGCCCAGTCGTCTAAGGCGCCGCGATTCGCTGTGCAGAGTTGCGTCTCTTGGGCACGCCAGAAACCTATGATTGTGGGTTCGAATTCCAGTTCGCCCCGATTATGTTTCTAGGTTTGTCAGTACCATACCCGTGCTCGTGGGTTTCACCAACGTGGTAAACGTCTGAGACCTGCATCACTTCGGGCTTTCCTCCCACATTAAGCTGACACGCCGTGATATAACTTGAATATTGTTAAAAGCGGCGTTAAACCCAACTCAATCACTGTTTTCCTCTTCTACAATGCGCTTCCGTCACGCCTCATACTACAGCGACCAATTACGGCAAGCGGTCCTTATTATTTGTGTTGGTGTCGGACTGCCCTGGTTTCTGTTACATGGAGAAAAACGAGTAGCCCACTGTTTCAGGCATCTTTCTACCATTTGGTTTTCCTTCAATGTGGTTTCGTTCAAATATAAATTAGACTGAAAGTTTTACTGAATGCAATTCTTAAACAGTATTGTCGACAAAATGAGATACATTGTTGTGTCAATTGAAGGTATCTCACAAATGGGGCGAGACCGTGACTTGTGGTGACACTTTTGACTGTGGAATGAAAGGGCGGATCCAACATTTTAAAAGGGAGAGCTCCAATAACAAAATCCTGTTTCAAAAGGGAGGTCTGGACTATGTAATCCGCATATGCAGTGAATATGAGAAATAGCCCAGTACACAACCATTCTCTTATGTTGCATGCGACAATACCCAGTCACAAGGCCCCCTTTTCCGTTCTACAGAAATGAGCAATAACGCGTAGACCACGACTACAGATAGCTGTTAAAAATTTGACTAGCCCTAGGTGCGGTACTAAACACTATTCCCCCGAAGCATACGGCCAGTACGCTGCAAAACTACTTGAGGTTCTCTTATGAGCAAGATAAAACCTTACACTGAATACTTTGAATTTAGACCCGAAAATATCCGGGAAGAGTATAGGTCTTCAGCAACCCCATGCTTGCCGTAACGGGCAGAGTCCTTCGCTTGTATGAAGTCGCCTAGCCTGAAAGGTGAAACAGGGCGAAAGCGCATTATCAGTTGCTCATATTGGGAAAGGGAGGTCACTCTAATTTCAAACGGGAGCTATATCTGTTGTTCTTCCGTCATAGTGATTGCACCAGGAGGGACCACATTTAAAAATCGCTAAGCTTCATTAGCTTGGCTTACTTATAACCAGTTTATAAAATGTTGGCCCACATTGTTCTCGTCTTATAGTGATCGAAACAGGTGGGCTTCATTGGGTTGACTAAGTCATTTAGGCTAGTGGGCTCACATTTGTCATTACTTTGCATGGGTATGTGACATTATATATTATTCTCATTTTGTAATATTGATGGGAAATATCTTTAAAAAAAATTTTGTGTGACGTTAATTCCACGAAAGGCACACAAAGTCTTTGAAGTTTGAATAACGCCATCATAGCTGACCACACTAGTTTTGCAAAAATAGTTACAAAGCAAGAAACTTAGATCTACTTCAAATTAAATTTACAGAGGCATTACCACTCATTCTACTTTTTCCGGTATAACACATCAATCTAATCATTAGTTTTAGTGGCGATATAAGCCTGAAAATATGTCTACACTTGAATTGATCTCGGACATGATACAAGCCTCAAACTTTTCCGAGAACTTGTTCGAACCTAGTTTGGCGATGTTCGTAGAAGTGTGTTCTGCTGTATTGTCATCGCATTTGTACATTCTAATCCAATTATAAGTCATAATACTTATTTTAAATAGACAAAATAGCAGTTCGTAATGCGGGTTTGTTAACGTAGTACACATTCTAAACAACAAGTGCGTTTAGTTTCGAATGTGGGCCCACCTCGAACTTTCGATTAGGTAAACGGTGTTAGCTCCCTTCTCGAACCACCGATAATGCGGTTTCTGTTTTTTGATTGTCACTTCCCACTCGAAACCGTCAATGTGTGATTTTGCATCAAAATGTAAATATGAAATGTAGACTATGTAATGAATTTAATTAGACTGCCCAACGCATTGTCAGTGGATGCCCCGAGTTAGTACAAACACAGTATCTTAAGCGACATGATGGTGTGGCTCGATCATTTTATTACTGATCATCTTATTACCATCCTCGCAATGCTCGTCCATCCATGATACGACCCAGAATATGTAGAGGGTGTCATGGAAAATGATGAATACAAAATTCTTTGGAATAGGCCCGTTTACAGCCTCAGACCTATCCAGGCCAATGAACTTGATCTTGTCCTTTTTTGTCAAATCCAATGAAATCATTTATATCATTGAATAATTATTCTCTGTCCCTTTTGACACTAATGTGATTGACAAGATTGAGGAAAAACATGGCAAGTATGCGGACCTCGCTTTCGAAATGTCACACTTGCATCCCAAGTACCAAGTTGTCCGACTCCCCATTGTTCTCGGTGCCTAAGGTTTGGTATCTCCAAATCTGTTGACTGACATTGGGAGAGTACCCGGGTTTGCTACCAGGAATACAGCCCTTCTGCCAATCTTGGTAATGCAGAAGGCTGCAGTGTTTGGGAGTCTTCACATTCTCCGAAAAGTTCTGGGTGGGTTTGACTAGGCAGCGCTTCCTGGGAGAAGTCCCATTCGCTGTCTGGGCTGCGTGTAGACGGGGCAAGGGCTCTGAGCTGATGATGAGCCTTTCCAGCCTGACCGCCCAAACCAGTATCACCCAAACCCTCTTTGCCTCATTTTTCATTTTAATCTGTAAATAATAATAAATAAACAACTTTGAATGTACAACTATCTTGCTATTGCCCTTATTGTGTTGGCATTAAATTGAAATGTTCACATATCAACCTCAGGCAAATTGAAAAGAATACTCGCAACCAAAGCTTGATATTAAATGAAAGCGTGTGTGATATCCTGTAAGTTTGTTATGTCAATGTTACAGGTTCTGATGAGTATCCTGGCAGTGTGGGCGATATCGGGGATTCTAACATACACTAACGTATTCCCTTCGGATCCAGATCATCCCCGCTTTCGAGCACGGGCAGATGCTAAATCAAAACTGATACATATGTCACCCTGGTTCTATCTTCCGTATCCAGGTAATAACATAAAATCAACAATGCAATATCGGATGTTGGAACAGTAGAATGTTTACAGAACAGAAGTGTGCAGCAAAAAGCGACAATATAAATGTATAACCTTAGTGGATAGAAGATATCACGACCATTTTAAATTTTTTAAACTTACATAGGTCCAATATGGTATTTTATGCCTCAAAGTGAGATTGGCCAATCAGAGAGCAGAACTACTAACCTCATTTTAGCTCGTATACCGTCAGTAAAATTCCAAGGTAGTTCTTACTGGCCTTATATAAGACCGTATACGGTCAGTTATAGCCATTTTGGATTTTCCAACACCCACCTCACATATTTCACATGACAATTCTGATACAGATATTAGTTATTCGACACTGTTTTGTGTTTTAATATCATTATTTGTGAGCTGCAAAGACATTGATGTTTAAAGAAACCACGTATGTGACTTTATTAATAAATATTACAGAGAACAATGGATTTACAAATAGCAACGTCATAGAACGTAATATAGGATATAGGATGACGCCACAAAAAAATAAGCATGACGCCAATGACGCCTGAATAGATAGCAGCCCGTCGTTAGGGAAAATCGCACTGGTATCAGTGGTCCGCAGATTTCTGATAACATTGGGCATTTTTATAATAATTCTATCCATTTTAGCTATAATACTTGTTTAAACGTTAACATTTAATGCATTATATATAACTCATTGTTAACGTTTGTGTTTTTAAGCGTTGTATCTGAAATATATATATGTACTGTTCCTGTCATTTATACCGGTTGTAAGTGTCAAGTTTTCTTTTGGACATGACGTGCGATAAAAAAAAACCCATTTCGGCATTCTGAATTCGTTATGGTGTCTTCCGTTGCCTTTGCGGTGTTATAGTAGAATAGCAGAATAATTTGAAGCCTTATACGGCAACTAAAGACACCATAACTAATATTATTACCCTTGGGTCATATCACGTCACGAGACAACAGTGTATTGTTTCTGTCATCCGGACGGCATTGTTGACGTCATTCGAATCTTATTGTGACGTGAGGTCTGAATGACGTCACGTTAGAGTCAACGTTAGAAAATTGTTGACACCATTCGATAAATCTTCGGTAATAAATAGAACATTATATTCGTGTTCAGTTCATTCTATGTTTACGACACCCGCTCTCACTCGGGAAATACCGGAATTTAGACACTCGTGTCGTAAACATACTTAGTAAGACATGAACACAAATATAATATCCTCTATATATGATAAAACTATTACTTATAGGTACATTTTTCGGTTTTGCATTTCGCAGTACTGGATTTGACAAACGTATGGTCATCGCTTGCCTTCTATGAAATGAGTTGCTGATGATGAACAGGACGAATGCCTCGTAGCACATACGGAGTTTTGTGACAAATAGAAACAATTCTTGATCATCCAAATTATTGTTTTCAGGTCAATTTGGACTGCCCTCCTTCAATTTAGCTCTTTGCATTGGATTCATGGCAACATTTTTCGCATCACTGATTGAATCGGTTGGTGATTACTATGCTGCTGCCAAGGCATGCTCCTTACAACGCGGTTAACAGGGGCATTCTATTGGAAGGGATTGGAGGTCTTATATCTGGTGCTGTGGGTGTCGGTAGTGCCACAACTTCGTACAGTGTAAACATTGCCGCAATGACACTTACCAAGGTGAGTAAATTTACAGAAGGGTTAATATCTCGATGTGCTCATGTCGCTATTATACCAACCGCATTTGAAATATGGAATATGTGAGTGAGGGGTTTAACGCCGCTTTGAACAGTATTCAAGTTACACCACGGCGTGTCAGCTTAATGTGGGACCGAAAAGATAGAGCTCTCTGACCGAGGTGTTACAGCTCTCTGACCGAAGTGTAACAGCTCACTGACGTTTACCACTTTAATGAAAGCCACGAGCAGGGGTATTATGATAACAAACCTCGAACCATAATCGGGGTGAACCGGGATTCGAATCAATGATCATACGTTTCTGGTGTTTCCAAGGGACGTAACTCTGCACAGCGTATCGCGGTGCCTCAGACGACTAGGCCCCTCGTGCCCCCTTGAAATACAGAGGGTAGGTGGGATGTTACTGAGGGATTTGGTTAAAAGCAAGGAATAATAAGAGCGCTTTGTGTGCCACAGGATCTACATAATTTAGGAAATGGGAAAAAGTTATATAGTTTATGTGTGGAAGTTATCAGATACACTGATATTCATTATAACCTCTGCCAAAAGCAGAGTCGATTGTACAATGCCAGTTATATTCCTCTTGTTACCTGAATAAATTCACAGAGATCCAATACAGAGAAATAGTGTTTGCAGGTCAAGCTGATGTGCTTACACTGATGTACGCTGATGTCAACATCATACCAAACGCACGGATGTTATCAGGATATAAATATCTTACATCTCGTGAGCATGTCGTTTTCTCTCTGTATACACGTGTACCTGTATGCTCCGTATTCTGCAAAACCTTTCTGTCCCTCAAAGACTGCCAACAGGTACATCCTGCTCTGTGCTGGAGTCATCATGGTCCTGTTCTCAGTCGTGGGGAAGTTCGGTGCAGTCCTGGCAACCATCCCCGATCCGGCACTAGGAGGCGCCCTGGCAGTTATCTACGGGATGTTGGTGTCGTTAGGTCTGTCCACTCTGCAATATGTCAATCTCAACTCGCCAAGGAACCTTCTCATCCTCGGACTGGCGTTCTTTGTAGGCATCCTTGTCCCGGAATGGATCGACAGGTACCCGGATGTAATCAACACAGGTACAGACATGATGTTTAACCTGGTCGACCCGATTGGCTACAATTGCCAATTGAGAGATACTGGGTCGATCTTCAAATCAGCTATTTCAATTAAAGTTGGTTACTGTAATTTGAAACCTCGCAGAATGTAGTGTTGTAGCCAGAGAAACGTCGTGGTACAATAACAACTTAACAGTCTGCATACACTTTAGTATACTTGCATGTACGTGTATTTGATATATCAATTCTTGGCAAACGTTAGTAATTGAGCAATAATTCATTGATAAAGTAGTGGTGTTCGGCTATATCATTCATCAATGAACATCCTAATTGTAATTGTAAGAAATGTGCATGTCTTCGTTTCCACTTCAAGGAAGCAAAGAAGCAGATAGCGTCCTGAAAGTAGCTCTTGGAACTCCTATGTTTCTTGGAGGTGTAATTGCAATAATACTGGACAATACCACAAGAGGTACGTATACATTGTACATCAAGATCAGTACTAACTCATATCATCCCAGATGACAATTTTGAAACATGGATCAACAGATGTGAGGTGCAAGGAAGTCTCACCTTTGCCTAATTACACATCATTACACATGTGTTCGGTTTTAATAAATATATGCCACAAAAAAGCATTTGCATAATCAGAAGAAATCTCTAATCTCTACCATAATCTACTTTCAAATATGTCATTTCATATGCAGGCAAATGTATCATCCACCAATATTGTGAATGATAAGAAAACTAGTATCTTCCCCAGGGTCCAGGAAAGACAGAGGAATAGATGCGTGGCAGGTACGTGCATGTCAGAACGAAGTTACAAGCGGCATGGATGACAACTCTAACTCTACAACCTATGACTGGAGCTGGACAACTGCCCTCTATCAGTATCTGCCGTGTTGCTCACAACTGCCGTTCATGCCGGCGTATGATAAGCATATTGGTGGCACCGTCGAAAACGCCAACATTCCGATGATCATCTTCAGTCACAGTGATTAGCTATTTTTTTAAATTGGAAAGCTTTCATGTTCATGTTTGTGTTTTGATTTTTGTAAGATGAATTTCAAATTCGGGTTTATGGTGGTTGGGGTTGGCTTTGAGAGAGCACTTCTCTACATAAGATTGTTTTGTCCCTGAATGAAGGAGTCAATTTAAAATCTTCTCTTGTTTCATTAATATACGAATATTGGAGTAAATTGAAGTATTTTGTATTTAGTTAATCTAGTAAATAAACATAGCCACATGCAGTTGTGAAACTATGCATACTGTCATGTGTTGATTCCCAAGTTGTTCCCAGAATCTGTACGTAAACTTCGTGTGAAATCAACAAACAACCAAAACATAGTATGCGATTAACAATTGTATTACCAAATTAACTAGGTTTACAAATCAACGCAAATTACTGCACAGCAATTACAGTGGCAGTACACAATCGAGTGGTTGTACAATAGTCAATGACAGTATATAATTATAATAAGATTGCAGTGGTCAGTGACAAATACAAAAATACAGTGGTAATAGCAAAAGTCAGTGATAATAGCATATTCACCCAGCGGCAACAGTGATCAAGCTTCCGAGATGGTCCTTGGCAGGGAATCAGGGTGGACTTCACACGAAAGCTGGTCTTGGTGTATTCTCAGATGTGACTGTGTGATGAAATGTGTGAGAGAGACGAAATGTGTGAGTGAGGCGAAAGGTATGCTCTTGTCCCCATATATATTCAGTCCATCTACGAGCGTAGTTACTGGAAATGTCTTCACAGTGCCCTCACTAGTCTAGCGGCAGTAGAACATTCCTGAATATTCCAGGGATATGCCAGTCCAGTTCGACCTTTAGTGTCAATATGAAAGATTAAAAATCATATACAAAAAGTTTGATCATCCTAATTAAATCTCATATGAAAATGCGAAAATATATCCGCCAAGGCAGTGTTATCTCGAGAATGATTTTTGCGAAACGGAAAAAGTTTACATGCCGCAATTCCTGACACGGGGAGTGGCTGTGTTCTCATCCTCACAATGATGGTTTTGCTTTGTTGGAGTTTGTTGCCTATTATTTTGTGTATAATCCCCTTTGAGGTCAGCACACCTTTGCCAACGATGCTGGAGTGCCTGGATTAAGAAGGCTTCCTTGGTGGTGTTATACGTCCTCGATAGCCGATCCGCACAGTGTTGCCTGAGCAGCTTAGCATAACATTGGTCAATGTAACATGTTTTATTTTTGGGATAACACCTTGGTCTGACCTTTCGGTCTTTCCTTTGGAATCCCAGAAAAACAAAGCCATTCCATTGACAGCTGGAAGATCTTTCCTTCTTTGGATACGTCCGATGTTTCCATTACTTTTACTGTTGGTTAGTCTTGTGCTGATATTGGTAAACCTAAGACCCATCTATGGTTACACATCAGCTGGGTCAGTCTTTAAAAGACGTTAATTCACACGAAGCGATCTGATTCGCAGTTCATTCTTCGGTCTGTTCTCAACTCTCTCAGGATCGAGACCTACTGTATTGACTATTGGACTTGTGGTTGACTTGTGATATCGTATTTGTCATGAAGATGGTCATTAATGGAATCAAGAGAAGGTCTTCCTGAGCTTGGATAATCTTCGAGGCTGTCTCATCCCCTCTGGAACGCTGCTGCCCAGAGTGTTAAGTGTGACCTAAACACCCTTCATAGTCAGAACATTTCAGCAAGCTTCGTAACTCTCTAGCTCTCACACCTGTGGATGACAAATACAATTTTAAAACCCAAGGAGCAGCACATGATGTGTGTTTAGCCCAAATTATATTAGACATCACATTAACCCATCTTCCCGTGGCATGAGTGTCCACTAGCCTATATCATATTTTCCTCCCTTTCAATTTCAAGCCTACTTTTCTTGGCTCGATAGTGAGTTGTTTCCCTTGTCATAACGAAATGATTTAAGATATCATCCGGGACATACAAAATGACAGATTACCACAGTAAAGATACGTATTCCTCATTCCGTTCTATTAATAATAGAAACCAACAGACAACACAGTATCAAGTAACACATCGCACCAACAAGAAACGCTCAGCGTCTAAACATAGCGATAAACATTAATTAATTAATCATTAAATTAAATTTTTATAGTGCATGTTCCAACTAACATATGTTCAAATGCTCTTAGACCATCTTATCTAGTCAAAGGCTCTCTTGAAGAGACAAGTTTTGAATGTCTTTTTAAAGTTTGTTTCTCGGATATCTTGTGGCCGATTGTTCCATAGCATTGGCCCCGCGTGTTCAAATGACCTGTCGCCATGTTTTGGTACGTGACTTTGGCACCACTAGCAGATGTTGATCTTTTGATCTGAGAGAACATGCAGGCTTGTATGATACTTTCAGGTCCAGTCAGTATGCAGGAGCCAAGCTATGCATCGCCTTGTATAACCAGATAGAGAAGCATTCAGTCGTTTGAGTCATATAATTTTAGTATGCACTAAAAGGTATAAATACTTGAGTGAGTTAATTGAAAGTGCCCTCCGGATTTTTGAATGTTTTACTAAGTCCTTGAAAGGTGCCATCCTGATCAAACAACGTTTCAACAACAGTCATATGGAACTCTTTGCAATCTTCAAAATACAGTCACGTGGATAGTTTTTCGTCGCCCTAAATCTTTATGAATACACCTAAATATGAAAAAGATGAGGCAGTTTCACTGGTCTCCCTACCTTGTACCTCATGTGATCAAATATGAAAGGGAATTGGCTTTCTGATTACTTTTGATCGATATGCCCTTCAAGCAATGATTTATACACATTTATCTAAGAAGAATGAAACATTTTGCTGCCTATTGATACATGTAGACTCTTCAAACCTTTTGATGAAATCAAACATCCAGTGTTATTTAAAATATTTCTACATCTGTGAATCAAAGTTTCTCAAGTGTATGTTAAACTGTATTCAACACTCTGTTCTTCTGAGAAAACCGAAGATGTCTGTCGTCCTATTTCAAATGTACACTTTAGACTTGTCAGGGATGTGTATTGAGCCATCAATGTTGGAGAAGGAAGGCGATAGGAAGTCTGATCTGTTTTTTATAGACAGACAGACAGATTTATTTGTATAAGGCCATTTGACCCATTGTACAAAATACATTTACATTTTATTTATCTAAGAGTTACCTAATTGATACTTTTTTTGTGTGTGTGTTGAGAACACGTACATTAGGAATTTTGCAAAATTTATCATTGCATCGTTGTTGGATACTTGACAGAGTCTTTCTAAACAAAAATAATTATGATTAACTGTCTTTGGGATATACATTTCCCGCCGACTTGCATAAAGAGGACAGTTGTACATAACATGAAGTTCATCCTCAATTACATGACAGTGTTTACATAAGACGGCATCCTCCTCAATATTAGCAACACCCCTACGTATAAGTTGAATACCAAGAGTATTCTGTCCACATCTAAATTTGGTTATTAGCCTTCTATATTCACAATGCTCAATATTTGATAAATATTTTTCACAAACGATATTAGATTTATGCAGTTTATAGAATGAGAGGGTCTTGCTGCCTAGAGATGCATGCCAATCTTGAAACGAACAATCTTTAACTCTTTCGCTGAACATATGTACAAATAATTCTGCATTGCCAACGCCTTGTGCAGCCCATACATTAGTCCGGCAGAGAAATGAATATTTTCCCCCAACCCAGAATTAGGGGATAAAGTTTTTTTTATTGCTGGATTTGTTTAATGATGTACTCTAGATTATGAAACTGACTGATGACACTCTGTCATCTTTGGGCATTTTGAAATATTCAAGATGGCCGACAAGATGGCCGCCAAAACATGAAAATATCGCTTCCTTGCTAACAGTATGGAATATGATACCACTTTTGGAGCAAATCACTAATATTTTGCTTTCAACTAATTAGAATATGGTATTCTAAATGAACTGGTATCATTTAAAACATTATTTGATTCTTAAATAAGCAAGATAACTTGCAAAATGCCTGTCGAAACATTATAAAGTCAACAAGCACGGCATTCTTTTTAAGGATAATTGATTATTCTGAACTTTCAAAAATGAATATTGGCTCAAGGTTTTCTTCACATACATACAATCAGTTTAGGTTTCTTCCTCATCATCAATAACACGGTTAGTGAGTTGGTTGAAGCAGACACTGGAGCTACAATGTAATAGGAGAAGGCCTCGTAAGTGTGTCACTTGTGCCTAATCCATTTGGTTTTCCGAAATAAAATATGTTTAAATCAATACCGCCGCTGGTAGTTTAATTTGAGAAAAATAGCAGGACATTCAGCTGTCGGGGCTATGGGTCAGTGGGTGATTGACGATTTGTGATGGCGCCAGCTGATGTAGGAGACGACACACTTTCCAAATTATTTCTCAACCTTATCTAATGCTAATTCAACAAGAGACAATAGTTTTTGATAGAGGCTTCTTGTTATAATATATTGTTGATTAAAATATGTAAAACTATGTATCTCTGGCTGTCTTGTCATCCCTTCATTCAGTAAAGTGGACTGGTCCAACTACCCACATTACCTAATTATAAATCTCATCCAGGCATGGCATACCCACATCACCTGATTGTATTTTGGTACCTTGTGGGGAGAAATTAGGCGATCTGGGAGGACACCGTTATATCATCTAACATGGCCAACTCTGCTCTTAAGTAAACAAGAACCTAATCAGTGAGGGGTCCTTTATCATCCATATTTGACTGCTTATAAAAATCTTATATCTCTCCTCACAGCTGGTTATTATATATTTTTGCTGCTGAATATTCGAAACAGAGTGATTGAGTTGGTACAACACATGTATACGGTTCCATTTTAAATGACTGCAGCGCTCCATTATGAAAACAAGTTGTTTTAACGCCGCTCTCAGCAGCATTCCAGTGATATATGACGGCGGTCTGTTGTATATGAAATAAATGCAAATTGAATCTTGAAAGTTGCAGCTTTTCCGCAAATCAGTATCACATGCAGTATACAGTATATCAACTGCAATATACTGTATACAACATGCAGTATACAGTGTGTCGCGAGCTCCGCGCTGGGCTGGAGCACACATTTCCTGCCCCTCTCCCTTCTGCAAACACCTCATGGGGGGTGTAATGAGGTCACAGGTCAGGCGTGCACTCGTCAGTTATCTGATACGGTCAAGAGTAAGATCTTCCGGACTATCAC